GCATTCTTGGTATACTCACTGTGGAATCTAAGGGGTTAACCCTCTGCATTGTGTAAAAAGGATGTTTGTTTATCCCTGTCTTCTCTGATCCTCCCTTCTTCCACTGTTCCAGACTCATCTCCTGATAGAACAAAGCCTTGGGGTGTAAGTGGGTCAGGGGTCATGCTGTCTCATAGGACGGAGAGGAGAATGGAAAGTCCTCCTACAAGCTTAACCAGTGCTCTGTTGGACACTGACAGAAGTCACAAGACTGCTAACTGCTGATGAGAAAAAAGGTATTTACCATATATATTTACTAAAATATATTGTGTACTGTGGGAAGGAGACCAGATATAGTGAATGCAGGGTCCAAGGTTTAGTAACACTTCAACGCTGGATGTAAATAGACGCTCTGTACACATGTCTATTACAATGACAGTACTTTAGGTCACTTACCTGAAAGAGCGTAAAGAATTAAAAAAAAAAAAAATTTACTTTTCTAACTTTTTCTGGGTCTGTGACTGTGCTAAAGTCAAGCAGAGTGCGGTTAGATTTATTCTGGTACTTATTGGTTTGCTTAGTCACTAATGATGTGCACACACAAAAAAAAAAAAAAAAAAAAAAAAAAAAAGTATTAAAATTTTCTAATGGCCTGCAGTCAGTTTTTTGTACTCGATTTGCATTTTATGCATGTTCTGCTTAACCATTTGACCTCTGGAAGGTTTTACCCCCTTCATGACCAGGGCATCTTTTCTATTCAGCATTGTGCTACTTTAACTGGCAAGTGCGCATTCATGCAACACTGTACGCAAATTAAATTTATATCTTTCCACACAAAAATAATTTTCTTTTGGTGGTATTTGATCACCACTGGGCTTTTAATTTTTGATAATATATACACACCTCGGTTATAAAACATGCAACTGAAAAAAAAAAAAATCTTCATAAATTTAGGCCAAAATGTATTCTGCTACATGTCTTTGGTTAAAAAAAATCCCAATTAGTGTGTATTAATTGGTTTGTGCGAAAGTCTACAAACCATGGTATGTATACTGGAATTTACGTAGATATAGATGCTATACTGTAATAGCGATGATCAGCGACTTATAGTGGCAGGCAATCTGTCACCATCCGCAAGGGTCACTAACTGACGTTGCTAGGGACAAATACAGTAATCCATGATAATAGTGTACGCTGACACTGTACAGTTGTGCTCAAAAGTTTACATACCCTGGCAGAAATAGTGACATCCAAGGTCAGGTAGACCATGAAAGATTGCAACCATAACTGACAGAAGAAGTGTCTGGGATTCAAAGAAAAACCCACAGGCAACCTCAAAAGAAAAACAGGCTGCTCTGGAAAAAGATGGTGTGGATGTTTTTAAGGAGTACAATACGGTGATACTTGAACAAAAATGAGCTGTTTGGTCGAAATGCCAGAAAGAAGCTTTTACTGCACCAATGCCACAAAAAAGCCCAGTTACAATATGCCTGACCACACCTTGACATGCCTAACCAGGCCTTTTTGTGCCATTGACGCAGTAAAGGCTTCTTTCTGGCACCTCGACCACGCAGCTCATTTTTGTTCAAGTGTTATCTTATTGTGCTCCTTCAAAAACAACTACACTTTCTTTTTCCAGAGCAGCCAGTATTTTTCTTGTGGTTACCTATGGGTTTCCCTTTGCATCCAGAACAATTCTTCTGGCAGTTGTGGCTGCAATCTTTCTTGATCCTTGGCTTGCTATCAAGAGATCCCCAAACTTTCCACTACTTAAAGTGATTTAACAGTACTGATTGGCATATTCAAGGCTTTGGACATCTTTTTATGTCCTTTTCCATCTTTATAAAGTTCCATTACCTTGTTACGCAGGACTTTTGACAGCTCTTTTCTGATCCCCATGGCTCAGTATCTAGCCTAGTCAGTGCTTCCACGTAAGAGCTAATAAATTCATTGACTATTTACACACTGACACTAATTGCAATTTAAAAAGTCTGTCCTTTTCCATCTTTATAAACTATGTTTTCCTTTACATAGTTGAAGGTAAATCTAAAGGAAATTGGGCAGAAAATTGTATAGTGTATGGCTAGCCTTAGCCACAATGTGCAATGGCTTTTATGCAAGAGAGCATTCAGTAACATTGTTGCAACCGTTTACACTACTTTTTCTAGCTTTAATCTAAGGGCCTGTTCACATCACACAGCATGCCTTATTGTGCTTATTGTGCACATGCATCCTGGACACATGCTGCGCATTGGGATGTTGTAAGGCATTGCAATGTTCATTTTTCTTCCAGTCTTGCTAATCCTATGCAATGCTATGTACAGCTGCACACAGCAATGCATTTCAGTGTGTCAGAACACGCAGCTCAAAAATAGAACATGCTAAATTTCCACCACAGACCAGTGAGCTGTGGTGTTCGACAACCAACCCCTACTAAACCAGCCTAATGGGGCTAGTGTGAACGAATCCTAAGAATCAGGTCAGAGATCAGATCTTCTGGGGCAGGTAAGACTGGGAACTCAGATCCAGAGATCTTCCCATCACAGTGTCAGAAGATAAGTAGATCGTAGGCGATTCCACTCAACATCCACCAATAGTGAAATGTTACATTTGGCAGGACTGGCCCCTCAACACCCAAAAGATCATTTCATATGCGATATTATGTACCTGCCCTAATCAAGCGATAAAGACAACTCACCATTTGTAGACAACAGGAACTGTGCTGCATTTTTCTGTGGTAACCATCGGATCTTGTTGATTTTCTCTTCGATTTCTAAACTCTTCAAGTAATCAAATTCTGGCTCGTGACTCTGGAACGTACTATACACACTGTATTCCCCTCTATGATATGGGCTTTTACTCTGCAATAAAATTGGCATAGCTTTACAGAAAGTTCAGACCAAAAAATTAAATCTGATTTAGAATATGTGGTCTGCATATTTACTACGTTCCACAATAGATTCCCCAGAACAAGTGGGGGAATCAATATATTTGTACAGCCTTGTAGGAGAAAGTAAGTACAGAAATTATAGTGGAAATCTCACAATCAATGCTCTAAGAGGCAATTTTCTGATGTAATCTTGATATGTCTCGACTACTGCAACTCCCTCCTCACTGGCCTGCCTCGCCGCTGGCTATCCCCGCTTCAGTCCATCCTGAATACGGCTGCCAGACTCATTCACCTTTCCAACCGCTCCGTTTCCGCCACCCCCCTCTGCCAATCCCTCCACTGGCTTCCGATTGCGCAACGGATCAAATTCAAAATCCTAACGCTGACGTACAAAGCTGTCCACCATACTGCCCCGAACTACATCACTGACCTAATATCCAAGTACCGCCCAGCACGCACACTCCGCTCCTCACAAGACCTCCTTCTCTCTAGTTCCCTGGTCTCCTCCTCCCATGCCCGCCTCCAGGACTTCTCCAGGGTGTCGCCCATCCTTGGAACTCCCAGCCCCAACCCATCAGATTATCACCTACTCTCCTCTCCTTTAGGCGCACCCTGAAAACCCATCTCTTCAGGAAGCCTACCCCGCCCCCTGAAACTTGCCGAACTCTTCCTACCACTCCATCCCCCACAGCTATCTCCTCCTGTGCCACCATCCCCTCCCTCCTAGATTGTAAGCTCGAAAGAGCAGGGCCCTCGATCCCCTCATGTCTTGCATTGTATTGGAATTGTTCTGTCACATGTTCTGTCCCCCTTTGTAATGTACAGCGCTGAGCGAACTATTGGCGCTTTATAAATACTGTATAATAATAATAATAATATAATAATATATGTCTGTTCTCTTGTAGAAAAGTATTTACTTTCTCAAACAGGAGCCACCACTAGATGGCAATAGTTGATTTGGACACACCATTCTTTTCAGAAGGAATAAAAGGAAAACAACCAGCAGTGAGACTATGAAAGGCTCCCAATTTACACAGTTATAGCAGCGCAGAAGAAATAAAAGGTAGGGCTGATCAAGTATCCACAATGACTGCAGTGCCTGAGCCAACAGGAAACCAGTCAAAAAAAGGTACATCTTTAATCTATATGTCTTCTACTGGACTGTTATAATAGCATATCCTCACCTATCAGAATGACTTTATAATTTATTATTTTTATGTATGCCCACTATCAGAGCAAGAATGTCAATTTAGCGTCAAGCTGCAAGGCCATCTTTTAACCTGCCTGAGCTTAGTCTTTGTTAATTGACAGTTTAAACCTCCAGCAGCCAAAACCATATCTGTAATCAGTAGTGGTGAACCGAAATGAAAATTCTGGTGCAGATACTGAAAATTCAGCATGCATGTGGTCGAAAATCGAACCGAAAACTGAAATGTCTGCGTATGTGGGGGTGGGGAGGGTCCAATTTTTTTTTTTTTTTTTTGTATTGTTTTCTACTTTCATGGATTTTTAACTTATGATATCATCACATAGGGGACCAATAGTTCCACATGTGATAGCATATGAGTGACAGGTCCTCTCTGTAGGGGGGAGGGGGTGGGGGGCAGGAGAGGAGAAATGTATACAGTGAGGGAGCAGTGTATACAGAGAGGCTCCCTCACTGGCTGTCACTATATGTCAGAGCCAATTTTTAAATGCAATTGACTGCTTTTTTTTTTCCTTCACTATAGCTCACAGAACTAGCGGTCACTTTCCCCAGAGCTAAAGGAAACTTTGTTTCTTTTATCTCAGGAAAGAAACTAAAAGGGATTATTTCTTTTAACTTGGGGAAATAAACTAAAAGGAAACGGTTTCCTTTTAGCTGGGGGGAAAGAAACAGCTAATTCTGTGAGCTAGAATGAAGGGAAAAAAAAAATAAATAAAACTGTTAATCTGGCACTGACATATAGTGAAAGCCAGTCACTGTATACACTTGCTCCTCTCCTGCCTCTCTCAGCCGCCCCCTCACATTTGCAGTACACACAGTCTCCTGTATCGGCTAAATTTTTCCTATCGACAGAATGCTTTACACCACTGCATCCAACTCTTTGCATTTCACTTGGGTGATGTAAGGCTTGGATGAAGTTGCTCGGCCATGAAAACCCATTCCATGAAGCTCTCTACACACTGTTGTGCTAACCTGAAGGCCACATGACGTTTGGAGGTCTTTAGCTATTGACTCTGCAGATAGTTGGAGACTTCTACGCACTTCAACATGCGCTGACCCCGCTGACTTTTTTTGTGGCCTACCACTTTGTGGCTGAGTTGCTGTCGTTCCCAGTTGCTTCCACTTTGTTATAATACCACTAACAGTTGACTGTGGAATATTTAGTAGCAAGGAAATATCACGGATGGACTTATTGCACAGGTGGCAACCTAACATGGTACCATGCTTGAATTCACTGAGCTCCTGACAGCGACACATTCTTTCACAAATGTTTGTAGAAGCAGTCTGCATGTCTAGGTGCTTGATTGTATACACCTGTAGCCATGGGAGGTGATTGGAACACCTGAAACCAATGATTTGGAGGGGAGTCCCAATACTTTTGGCAATATAGTTACACGTGCACTTTAGTGCCAAAAGTATTGGGACGCCTGCCTTTACACACACATGAACTTTAATGGTATCCCAGTCTTCGTCCGTAGGGTTCAATATTGAGTTGGCCCACCCTTTGCAGCTATAACAGCTTCAACTCTTCTGGGAATGCTGTCCACAAGGTTTAGGAGGGTGTCTATGGGAATGTTTGACCATTCTTCCAGAAGCACATTTGTGAGGTCAGGCACCGATGTCAGACGACAAGGCCTGGCTCGGTTTCCACTCTAATTCATACCAAAGGTGTTCTATCGGGTTTTGGTCAGGACTCTGCAGGCGAGTAAAGTTCCTCCACCCAAAACTCTCTCATCCATGTCTTATGAAGCTTGCTTTGTGCACTGGTGCGCAGTCATGTTGGAACAGGAAGGGGCCATCCTCAAACTGTTCCCACAAAGTTAGGAGCATGAAATTGTCCAAATTGTCTTGGTATGCTGACGCCTTAAGAGTTCCCTTCACTGGAACTAAGGGGCCAAACCCAACCCCTGGAAAAAATAGCCCCACACTATAATCCCCCCTCCACCAAACTTTACACAATACAGTCAGGTAAGTACCGTTTCTCCTGGCAATCGCCAGACAGACACGTCAATCGGATTGCCAGACAGAGAAGCGCGATTCGCCAGTCCAGAGAACACGTCTCCACTGCTCTAGAGTTCAGTGACGGCGTGCTTTACACCACTGTATCCAATGCTTTGCATTGCAGTTGGTGATGTCTCTTGACTCTGCAGAGAGTTGGCAATTTTTGCGCACTGTGCACTTCAGCATGCGCTGACCCCCCCTCAGCCATGAAGTGGTGGGCCAAGTAAAATGACAAGAGTTGCTGTTGTTCCTAGTTGCTTCCATTTTGTTACAATACCACCAACAGTTGACCGTATAATATTTAGTAGCAAGGAAATTTCAAGGATGGCTTATTGGTGGCAACCTAACATGGTACCATGCTTGAATTCACTGAGCTCCTGAGAGGGACCCATTCTTTCACAAATATTTGCAGAAGCATTCTGCATGCCTGCCTAGGTGCTTGATTTTATACACCTGTTACAATGGAGGTGATTGGAATACCTGAATCCAAACTATTTGGGAGGGGTATCCCAATACGGACTATGCCAAACATATTGGCACCCCTGCATTTCTGTCAGATAATGCACCACTTCACCCAGAAAACTGTTGCATTTACAAATGTTTAGGCATTTTCGTGTTTATTCCTTTTGTTTGCATTCGGGGGACAAGAAAAAAGGGCAGAAACAAAGCCAAGTCTGACCCATTCCAAGCACAACCCCAAATATGGACTGGACTAAATTATTGGCACCCTCAATTTAATATTTGGTTGCTCACCCCTTGGAAAAAATAACTGAAATCAATTGCTTCCTGTAACCACAAATGACTCTCTACTGGAATTTTGGACCACTCTTCTTTCGCCAACTGCTCTCAGGTCTCCCAACTGCTGTTTTGAGATCTCTCTACAGGTGCTCTATGGGATCAAGTTTTGAACTCATTGCTGGCCAGTTCAGTACTCTCCAGAGCTTTGCCTTAAACCATTTCTCTGTGCTTTTTTATGTGTGCTTTGGGTCATTGTCCTGCTGTAAGACCCATGACCTCTGGGAGAGACCCAACTGCATTCCAGAATTCTTTGGTAGTCTTCAGATTTCATAATACCATGCACAAAGTCAAGACATCCAGTGCCTGAAGCAGCAAAGCATCCCCCAAAACATCAGTGAACCTCCACCAAGTTTGACTGTAGGGACTGTATTCTTTTCTCTAAAGGCCTCATTTCTTTTTCTGAAAACAGTAGAATGATTGGCTTTACCAAAAAGCTGTCATTTTGTTTAGTCTATCCACAGCACATTCGTCCCAAAGTATTTTGGCTTCCTCATGTATGTTTTGGCAAACTCCAATCTGGTTTTTTTATGTTTCTGTATCAGTAGTGCTGGCCTCCTACCATAGCGTCAGTTTTCATTTAGATGGCGACATATAGTGACGCAGTTGTACCCTGTGCCTGAAGGTCAGCTTGAATTTTTCTGGAAGTTGACCGAGGTTCTTTATCCCCCATTAGAACAATCCTTTGTTGCAATCATTGATATATTTTTTTCTTCTTGACAATGTTGTGCACAGTGGACACAGGCAATGAAGATCTCTGGAGATGGACTTGTAACCTTGAGCATGTCCATGCTTTTCCACAATTTTTGTTCTCAAATCCTCGGACAATTATTTGCCGCTCTCTCTCTTCTCTATTAGGCTCCATGTGGCACACAGACACAACAGAAAGGTTGAGTCAATTTTTCACCATTTTAACTGGTTGCCGGTGCGATTTCTAGATTGTTAGTGCCTGGTAATTGATACAGGTGAGTTTAATTAAAATTACAGGATCATCACAAACTTGGAATGCAATTATTTATTACAATTTTGGGAAGGTGCCAATAATTTTGTCCAGTTCATTTTTGGGGATTTATATGGAAATGTGTCAGATTTGGCTTTTTGTTTCTCCACTTTTTTTGTGTCATACCAATACAAACAAAAAAAAAAACATAAGCATGCCTAAACATTTGTAATTGCAACAATTTACTGGACGAAAGTGGTGCATTATTTGACAAAAATGCAGGGTGCCAATATTTTTGACCAGGATTGTATATATAATTATAGAGAGCGAGAGATCTACAATCAAGAGCAATTCATTCAACCATACAAAAGTTTTGCCTTGCATTTCCTTTTTAAACCGAATGGGTTGTTTTACAAGGTAAGGATTCACATTAAGAAAGTAGATTTTTACAAATGCCCATTCCTGACTGGTTTCCTTTCAGATGCCAAAAGTGTAATGCAATACAGCCTGACTCAAAATGCAGTAGCAAAGTAACTTCACAAGAACAGAACACAAATTGTAACATCACTAGCAAACTAACACAACATTGAAGCTAAACAAGGATTACCTTCACATTTTCTAACTAGTTCATAACCAGTAATAAGCTTAGTGTTCTTAGGGAGGGGCCTTATTGGGGGGGGGGGAAGGGGCTGCCAAATTCCAATAAGCCCCCCCCGCCTATGGACTCCCAAAACTACAAGCCAGGGTTGTGGAGAAGAGGCCCTTACCCTCATCAACATGGGGGTAGGATGCTTTGCCAAAGAGTGGGGGAGGAGGCAGGGAAATCCCCCCTTGCAAAGCATCCCCACCCCATGTTGTGGGTATGTGGCCTTGTATGACTCAGGAGAAGGGGACTCGCACTCTTCCCGCACCCCTTTTCTGAAGGACCTCATGCTTTTTCTTTTTTTCTGAGCAAGGAACCATAAAACAAATACCAAACTCTAAGGGTGTACATTGTCTCTGCAGTTATAAATAATGCAGAGGAAGCTACACGATAGTTTTGGCCAGGGCCCAAAAAATAAAATAAATACTTCACAAATGCAACAGTTATCTCAGAGACCAAGAGGACCATCTGATAAACAGATTTAAAAAGTCCACTCTCTCACTTAGACAATTTGTAAAGTGGACAAACTCACCTGCAAGTCCCTATGGACCACAGCTAATACCCCTGATGGGGTCCTCAGGGTCTGGTTTCTATAGGGATGGAGCACGGACCTGTACTGCATCCTGCGGCTGACTACACATGTGGCACAAAGCACTGAAGTGAGCGCCCAAGTAGGATCCAGTTCCAGAAGCAACATTTCAGGCAATCCCCACTGCTTCTATTTTGGGATTAGTGAAAAGTTGACTGAAGAGGTAATTAATCCAAAGAATATATTTAGGTAAGCCAAGACTGATTTTTCCAGAGGGGAGAAGGGGTCCATCACCTTGGGACTCTAGTAAGGGTGATAGGGAGGACGCGAAGGGGGCATGTTCTTCAAAGCATCTAAATCACATGAAGGTACCAGTCTATAAACCCAGGGTCTATGAATATCAAGCCTGTGTCCTGTACTGTATGACTAAAATATGTCAATTGCCTGGCTGTTATTCTAATTGCCTTAAATCGTATGAGTTATCACTCTGTCCCAAGTCTACAGACTATGTCCCCTGATCATTTTGCATGTTCCAGGTTAGTAACCCAAAGTGTTGAAATTCAGGGATTGTATGACTGCTAAGCAACTGGCATGTTCCTAAAGTGATCAGCAGTATTACCCTCTGTATTCCCCTCAGACATTCTTCCTAAATCCTGTATTAGAAATATTTGCAGCACTAACCTCCTGCTGGAAAATGACCACACGTCCTCCTTTATCTCCTGTGGCTAACAACTCTCCAGAATGGTTAAATTCTACTGTAGATATAATATCAGCTGTAATGAAAAGAAAGCACAGGTTACAAACACATACATTGCCCAGCACCACAGCAGCAGTGTTTAGAGTAATAGAAAAGCCCCTCTCTTAACCATTTGCCCTCCAGAGGATTTACCCCCCTTCTTGACCAGGCCATTTTTAGCATTATGGTGCTGCGGTACTTGACAAATGAGCGGTCATGCAACGCTGCACCCAAATGAAATTTATGTCCTCTCCTCCCCCCCCCACAAATAGAGCTTTCTAATGGTGGTATCACCTGTGCGGTTTTTTTTTTTTGTGCTATAAAATAAAAAAAAAAAAAAAAAAAAAACTAAAACAAAAAAAACACAATTTTAAGAAAAAAATATATATTTTTGACTTTTTGCTATTAAACAACATGTCCAGAAAAAAAAACACGTTTTTACAAATTATAGGCCAAAATGTATATTGCTACACATCTTTGCTAAAAAAAAAAAAAAAAAAAAATTCCCAATACATGTAAATGAATTGGTTCACGTGAAAGTCATAGCGTTTAAAATGGAGATATATATACACTGGGATTTTTATTTTTACTAGTAATGGCGGCAATCAGCGACTTATAGCGAGACTGCAGCGGGTATTCTGACACT